TAAGTCTATGGCATAGGAATAACATGGGTAATGCTAAGTCTATGGGAGTAATGTTATTTCAATGGGATAATGCATTTTCTATGAATATACTAAATTAATCTGACATAATCTGACAAAACTAATTGTTGTCAAAAACATTTAAAATTTTCAAAATTACAATAGTGAAAGTAATCTAACAATAGTATTGAAAAATTTAAAATTTTTGATGCATTTCCCGAATTGTGGTTAACGCATAGCATCGCGTGTGAAACTTGTTTCATCGTGTATTAAATTGTTTTGTTTGATTAGCATTTATATGATATCTGTGAATTTATAAATATCAACCTTGGTAGATAATTGCCATATTTTAATAAGCATAAAAAATTAACATTGACAAAATGTAGATATAAATACATGTACTAATGCTAATTGCTTTCACAAAAATTTTATTAATTATACAAAAAACATTCATATTATAGTAACTTTACTTGTTGTCAATAATGTAATATTTTAGATATCCAAAATTATAACACAGTAGTTGTTATATTCTATTTAAATGTGTTACTTATTAAATTATAATTAATTAATTATTATATACTACAGAAACATTCATTTAAATGTTAAATAAATGTTATAAACAAAATTAAAATGACAATTTTATTCGCCTATTGATTTTGAATTACAAATAAATTATTTAATTTAAAATTTTAATCACAATTCAATGCAAATAATATGGTTTAATATGGGATTAAAGCTTAATTCAATAATTGCAAGAGTATATGATTACATATTTAATAGTAATAAATATATCATTAATATTTGTAATTATCATAAAAACTGCTTGAAATGTTCAATTCTGCCTAAAATTAATAATACTATCAATAATCCATCAATATTTTCTAAATAAGTATTAGAATTAATTACTTATTTGCAAAGCATAAATATTTTAAATGTTTAATTGCTATAATTAATAAAAAATAAAATATATTCATATTATAGTTACACGGTCAATTAAAATAAATATGAAATCAAATTCAAATAATTGAGATATTTTGAAACCTTGATTAAATAATGAATACTTATTGATTAAGCATTTATCTTGCAAAATATTTTGTACATTATTTTTTATGTTATAAAAATTATTAGAAATTAAAAATGATTTTTAATTTCTAATAATTTTTAGGAATTTTCCATCATATTTATTAAAATTGCAGTAATTTGCAATTTCCACTTAAATTGCAATTAATTTGCAAACTCAGAGTATATAAGGCGCTGAATTAGACACCCATTTAAATTATTTACTGTATTGTAAACATTATATCAATCAAATTGCCTATATCTGACATTTATTGTTTTAAATACATTAATAAAACCATTAAATAAATATTAAAATTACAAAATTTGTATTAAAAATATAAAAACCTTATAAACAATGAGCAAAAACAAATCGGGAGACGATGTGGTAATCAGTGGTATCTCTGGTCGGTTCCCGCTGTCCAACAACACCGATGAGTTGGCCCGCAATCTGTACGATGGGGTCGATATGATTACGTGCGACGACACGCGTTGGCCGCGAGGTATGAATGTCTGTAATCAATGTGCATATAATCAGTGAAATCTCGTCGCCATTTATAATGAATGCGATTATGAATACACTGTTTAAATATAATTTGCCGCATGAGATACAGTAACACGATTTGCATTTAGCTTAACATTAATTAATTAATTCATATAATGTCATACATTTGCAAACACACAGACACTTATGGCATGGAGTCGTCGTTCGGCAAAATCCACGATTTCGGTCAATTCGATTCGACATTCTTCGGACTCCCGAAGCAGTTCACCGAAATGATTGACCCTCAGGGACGCATGCTATTGGAGGTGGTCTACGAGGCCATTGTCGACGCCGGTTAGTGTCACGCATTCATTATTATTATCATGTTTCAAACAAACAATACAATTCTAAGTGAACCTCGCAATATTATTGACTTTAATTATGTGATATGTGCTTTTTAAAATTTATTATAATATGTTTAACATTTACAGAGTGTAAAATAATATTTTGTATAAGTTTAATATTCAGTAACTTTTTTTTGTTGATCAAATAAGCTAGATTTTATAATAAATTTATAATTCTCACAGAATATATTATAAAAATTATCTAGATGTTAATTTAATATTGCAAAATATATTAATTAACATAACTAAATGAAATTAAATGTCATAATTATGTGCCTAGGTGTAAATCCACAAGATTTGCGTGGTAGTAAGACGGGTGTATACGTTGGCGTATCCCTATATCCTAACCTCGATGGTAACGCCGATGAAATTCAACCCGATTTGGTGCACACTATACACAAGGCGTCGATGCAAACGCTGGCCAATACCAAATCAATATACGCCAGCCGTATATCATTTGTGTTTGATTTTAAGGGCCCGTCATTGATAGTGGACACCGCCTGTTCGGCCAGTATGACCGCCACTACGCTGGCTATGAATGACTTGAGACTCGGTATGCAATCATTTAGTGTGAGTAGCGTGGTCAAATAACATTTTCAAAATCCTCTACAAATGGGAGAAAATTGCTAACAATTTTTGTATTACAGCTTATTATAGAATATACTAGCTTTAAGGCCCGTTTAAAACTGGCGCTCTCATAGCGCTGATATAGCGCTCAACTTTGACTCACTCTCTGTGAGAATGCATGTGAAATGCATTGAATGTATTAGAGATGTAGAGGTATACCAAAAATGTTTGACTTCCAATAGATTATTTAAATAGATTTATTCTTGTATTTTTAATGCAGAATAAATTTCTTATTGTATTCTGTGAAAATTCCTGTATAATGCAGGAAATATCTGTATATTTGGCAACGCTAAGTGTGAGTGAGTGAGTGTGTGTGTGTGTGTGTGTGAGAGAGCGAGAGATTTCAACCTTAGTGCCGGTACAGTGGCCCTCAAAATAGGTGAGCTCAAGCGGGTCGACATCGCACTCGGTGTAGGTGTCAATCATGAGCTCCTGTTGGGCGTCGGACGACGGAAAGAATATGCCGGTAGTTTTATTACCATCGATATTCATTTTGGCGGCCACGAGTGTGGCGTACGCCCGACGGGCGGCCCGACGGCGCTGTAGAAAAACACAGCAAACGGCCTCCGATTTGACAAAACCATCGGCCGACTGGTCGAGCACTGCAGACACCCCCCGCGCCGAACACACGCCCGACTCCTGTGTCACTTGCATTACGAACGGCTCGAACACCATTTGTGTGCCGCACACTATCGCCGCTGAGATGTTCCCTGTTTAGATACAGTACTAATATATTAGCTTTCAATTCTTTATAATCATTCTTTTCTCTCTCTCTCTCTCTCTCTCTCTCTTTCTCTCTCGCTCGCTCTATCTCTCGCTTTCTCTCTCTCTCTCTCTCTCTCTCTCGCTCTCTCGCTCTCTCTCGCTCTCTCGCTCGCTCGCTCGCTCGCTCTCTCTCTCGCTCTCATAATATTTTGTTTATATATAGGCTGGAGATCCACAGGAAATAAAAGCCATATACAATGCCTATATTAAAGCTCCGGGACGTACGGAACCGCTACCGTTGGGGTGTTTGAAGAGTAACGTCGGCCACTCGGAGGGCAGTTCAGGGGTTGCGTCGCTAATTAAAGTGTGTATTGTATATGAGAATGAATGCATTCCTCCCAACCTTAATATGAAACAACTAAAGGATGAATGCCATCCCTTTTGTCCGCCCATAACTCCTGTTGTGAAATTGACACCATATAAGCCGGGTATGCATTCAAATTGATTTATATAGATTGAAAATTAGCTACAAATGTTAATGTAATGCAATTATAACATATTTATTACAATAATATCCCGCACATATCGAAAGCCTCGTTTATATCACGTTGTAATAAACTTATCAGTATTTTTAAATATAAATTTAACAGCAGTTAATTTCCATACGAAACATATTACTAAATAACTTTTTTTAAATATACAGTACAACATTCATCACAAATTTATTTTTAATTTAATATAATTTAATTAAAATTATACATTTTAAGTACTATCTTCATACAATTAAGACATAAAAATATTCATTATCCTTTTTACCGCAATTGGCAACCATACGCGTTATATGCGGGATGTTATGATCAAACAATGTTATATTGTTATATATTGTTATATTGTGTATTTAAATGTATATTTGAATATTTAATTATGTGTTAGGGTTGGCTGCGATCAATAACTTCGGTATAGGGGGTGCGAACGCACACGTATTGCTCGAACCCAACCCTAAAGTGGGAACCAGTGATGGACTGAAAATCGCGGAAACGATTCCCAGAATTGTTAACATTTGCGGCCGAACTGACGATGCGGTCAATTATGTCATGGATTTTATACAAAACAATCCAAAGCGAGTGACGAATGAGTTTTTGGCACTTTTGGCGCAGACTATGAAATACACGCCTAATGTTAACTCATCGGGAATGCCATACAGAGGTGGGCAGTATTTGAATATTTTTAAAACATTAATTATACAGAAGTTTGGTTAAAATTATAATTGTTTTTGCAATAATAGGTTCGCTTATAATAACGAAAATTTTGGATAAAAACAATGAAACAAATTACGAATACAAGAGACAGTTGGGAGTAATGAAAAGCAAAAATACAAGACCCCTATGGCTACTATTCCCGGGTTTGGGCGGCCAGTGGTCGGCGATGGCTAAGGCTTTGATGCCAATCAAGATATTCGCCGATAAAGTGGAAGAATGCCATCAAATACTCAATGAGTTTGGCATCGATTTGAAACACATGTTATTATCCGACGACAAGACAGCGATGTCTACAATGACCGCAAAGTTCTGTTCGACGACTGCTATAGAGATAGCGTTGTTTGAAGTGATGAAAGCGCTGGACATCACACCCGACGGCATAATTGGCCACTCGTTTGGAGAGATAAAACGGCGATCGTCCGTAAGTGGTCTAAGCGTGTGGGCAAAGTTAGCATGATCAAACCAGTTATGTTGGACATCACACCCGACGGCATAATTGGCCACTCGTTTGGAGAGATAGCCTGCGCTTACGCTGACGGGTGTCTCGACACAAGGGAAGCGATGGTTGTGACGTCCATACGAGGGATTGTCACCGAAAATACTAAGAATATACCTAAAGGTCTGATGGCTGTCGTCGGTCTACCGGTGGCCGACTGTCAGCAGTTGTTACCGAACGGCGTGTATATCGCCTGTAATAACGCTAAGGACAGTGTTGTTATATCTGGTAAACAAATTTTTTACATAAATTACTAATTTAATTACAATTAACTAATGTAATTACTATAATATATTATCTCATTACTCATATAATTGTAGTTACTTTCATATAAAAACGATTCAAGTATACAGTATCTAATTTAAAACAAATAGTCACTTAACAGTAGTTTGGGTTGATATCAAACATTGACTTTTGAAATAGGAAATTATTATTCTCACTCATAGTTATAATTTTCAACAATATCACTTTAAAATAATAAGATATCCGCGGGTTATACCTGAAACCTTATATTAATAATTTAGCGACAAATAAATGTGTAATTTTGTAATTATTTTTTACCTTAATTTTAAGGACTGGAAAATGAGATGAAAGAGACAATGAAAGCGTTGTCCGCGAAGCGTATATTTGTTCGCCAATTAGAGAGCAGTAATATTGCCTATCATTCAAAATACATCGAAACCTGTGGCCAACCGTTGGCGGAGGCCATCAATAAACACATACCGGAGCCGAAGCCGCGATCGACGAAATGGTTGTCCACATCGCTCATGGTATCTGAGCTGACGGACCATAGGCTAAAGTGCGCTTCGGGCGAGTACTTTGCCTATAATTTGGTTAACCCTGTACAGTTTTATGATCGGATTAAACAATTGCCCGCCGACGCCATTGTACTAGAGTTGGGTCCGCACTCACTGTTTGGCAAAATAGCGACCGAAACGCTCGGGCAGTGCTCTTACGTGTCGCTCATCAAAAAGGACTCAAACGATACAAATATGGATCGTTTTCTACGATCATTGGCCACACTCTACGAGTTGGGCGTCAATCTGTCGGTCGAGCGGCTGTACCCGCGCGTGGAGTGGCCGGTGGCCAGGAATACGCCGGCGATTAACTCACTCATCAAATGGGATCACCGAAAGCCGATCCGCGACCGCATATTCCCGGAGCGCTGGAGTCGCCGAAACGGCGCCGACGCCAACGTTGAGATCAATTGCTCGGCAAATGATTACCACTTTTATTTGGACCACTCGGTCGACGGTCAGCCTATATTGCCGGCCACCGGGTATTTGCTGCTGGCGTGGCGTAAATTGGCCTACGACCAGGGCAAATTGTGGCACCAGGTGCCCGTAGTATTTGAGAATGTTCAGTTCAAAAGGGCCGTGTTTTTGAACGAGGACAGTACCACCAAACTTACTGTCAAATATTTTCCATTAACCGGTGAGCTATAGTTTATTGTATGTTTTAAATAATATGATTTCTACAATCAAAAATTTAGTGGTAAAAAAAATATGAAGGTAAATTTGCTACAAAAGTAAAATTTTAATTAAAACCAATTTCCCATATATACAATTTAATTTACAGTACAATTTTGCGTGTGCATATGTTCACCAATTGACCAATATATTTACTAACTATACACATTAGAATATTATAGCAACTAATTGTGGTACTTTTTTGTTTGTTTTATGTTGTAAAATGTTCTAGGCGACTTTTGTATCTACGAGAACGACAACGTATGCGTTTCGGGCAAAATGCGTGCGCCGGCCGACGACGACGCGCTCACCGCACAGCACACCCTATTGGACGGCGAGCCGCGACTATTGGGCGCCCAATACTCGCTCCAGACTCACGACATATACACGGAGTTACGTATTATTGGCTTAGAGTACGGGCCGGCGTTTCAACGGCTGCGACGGGTTGGCACCGACGACTATCGGGTGTTTTACGGCCGCTGCCAATGGGACGGCAACTTTGTCACTTATATGGACGCCCTGTTACAGTCGCGAGCCCTGTCGGTGCCGTTTCGCAAAATGCTGTTACCGGTGCTCATCCGGAAACTAACTGTCGACCCGCGCGTTATGTTTGACGCTTTCAATCGCAATAAGTGCGGTGAGGAGGGGGTGAAGCGCGTGGAGGGGGTGTCGCCTACCGGCGCCCATATCGCCTCAAATCCGAGTAAAGTAAACATCGATGTCGATAACGAAATGGGCGAACTCGGGTTGTATACCAACGACCAAACGGTGCCTATAGTGTCGGCGCCGGCACTCGACACAGCGAAGGCCCGTTTCAATCACCGGTTCTCTCAATACAAGTCCGAAATAACGTTTTATTACAACTCAGAGACCAAACAATTGGTGGCGCCGGGCGTTGAGCTCGAAGAGGTGATTGTGGCGCCCGTTGCCCGCCGTCACGACACCACTGGTCTCGTGTTAGACACCGACGAGTTTTACGCCAACGATGACAATCATGCAATAGATCATTGCCTATCAGCCGCTATGGCTAAATATTTACAGGTAATCTATAGTAACATTTAATTTAATGTAATATAAGTAATATTTATTATACTGTGAAGTATGTACTGTACAGTATATAATGATATTTTATGTTAAATTAAATATTAATTGTAATGATTATAATAGGTTTGCAAATCACTGGCTGTGAAAGTAAAACAATTGGGTTTCGCAGAAATGAAATGTGATTTCAATTACGATAACTTAGGCGAAGAAGTGATACAAGAATTTCGCAAAGAATGTAACGAAAATCACGTTATGTTTCGTACGTTTGATAAAATACTAACAGAAGTTATGGACAAAAATCGTAACAAAATTAATAGCAAAAAAGTGCAAAACATTATGAATGAAATACAAATAAATAGTGAATACGATATGAGTAAAGATGTGGTCAATCAGATCCAGAGGAATGAGCGTATGATCAGAGCGTTGGTCGAAATTGTATGCGAAAACTGTGTAACCAATCGAGACGTAAATATATGTGAAATTAATTTGGGTAACAGTTTTCTGGCCAAAAGGTCAATCAGATCCAGAGGAATGAGCGTATGATCAGAGCGTTGGTCGAAATTGTATGCGAAAACTGTGTAACCAATCGAGACGTAAATATATGTGAAATTAATTTGGGTAACAGTTTTCTGGCCAAAGATGTGGAGCAAATATTTTACAATTTTCTTGTCATTCCCTTTGAAATTGATTACAAACTTATTGTCAAAAATAAACAATCGGTAAATGAATTGTTTAGAGAGAGGGCTACTGAATGGCAACCAAACGATGAAATGCCATTAAAACCGTCACATTTGGTTATAATGAGAGACTCACCGGACTTATGGCCAATAGATGTGAATAAATTCACACAACACTTGTTTGACTCCATAAACAGCAATGGGTTTCTATTATCGGTATTTCGGTATAAGTTTACGGAACCGGAGATTGCGTTCATGTCTTTGACGGGAAAACCAATTCCCAGTAATAATGAATTGGAAGTAAGGATCAAAACATGTCAAACAATTGCTACTAAAATTGGTTTTAATTTAATCGCCGCAAAAAGCGATACAATCGGAACCATGTGTTTACTGTTCAGGAAAATTATTCACAAACCTGTAATACCCGGCAAACACAATGTAATTCATGTAAACCGTGATTATCAGCAATGGTTTGGTGTATTGCAAGCAAAACAGACCGCACGTATAGATGCGGATAAAACGATGGATACGGTATGGCTTTTGGCTCAGGACTCGTCAATCAATGGTATCATTGGTTTAATGAATTGTTTGCGATTAGAACCGGGAGGAAAAAAGTTCCGATATATATTCAATATGGACACCAATAGCGACAACAATGTCATTGACTTCAATAGCAAACCCTATTCCGATATATTGGCCAACGATTTAGCCGCCAATGTTATCAAAGAGGGAAAATTGGGAACTTATAGACACTTTAAAGTGGTCGCAGACTATGATAAATGTGTGTCAAATGATTATTATCTAAACTCAGGGGCGAAGAAAGACTTGACGGGAATTGAATGGTTTGATTCCCGGAAAATACCCGAAATTAAAACTTTCTATACGTCTGATAATAAAGAGGTTCGCAAAACACGTGTTGAGATATATTGCGCCGGCATTTCATTTCACGAAGTGATGCTCGCTTCTGGTAATTAAATTAATTAATTATACAGTACATATATCTATGTTATTAACCATATTTCAAAATGAACAATGTCGTTTATGAGATCTCCTTTGTATTAATGCTATTTTTTATGGCAATGACTTTTCTAATGCTTTTGTGTGCAAATGCATTGTTTTAACAAATATATTAAATATTAAATACAATAAATTATCACATTTTTAAAATGATTATTTGCCAATCGACAGGTCGTATAACCCCCGGAGCGGAGCAACTGTTCACCGATTGTGTGATGGGCTGCGAATACGTGGGCCGACGCGTGGATACCGGAGAACGGGTGATGGGAATCGATACTCACCGTACGTTCGCCACATCAGTGAACGCAAACATTCATAGCATGACCACAATTCCCGAGCACTGGTCGATGGCAGAGGCGGCCACTATAGTGGGCACATATTGTACAGTGTATTACGCGCTCATCAAAAGGGCTAATCTTAAACAAGGTTTGTTTGAATCGTTTAAACAAATGAATTAGCTATAATATTTTTGAACGTGTGTAATTTATTTACGTTGTTATAATGATGTTGTTTA